GGGGCGGGGGGTCCCGGGGAGGCAGCCCCGATGTGGGGTGCTGGACGGAGCTCGCAACCGGGCTGGCTGCCGGGAGCAAAGGCGTCTCCTCCCCGCAGCCCTGCAGCAGCACAGCCCCTTCTTGCGGTTTAGCTTTTTTCCTGCACTCAGCACTTCATAAAAGCATCCGATGCGACCACAGAGCAATCTCCAGCCCCATCCCAGCACCGCAGCTGCCATTGCTGGCCCAAGGGGAAGGGCAGCGTCTGAATACGGCCGCGCTTTGATGCACAAGAGCTGGATGGGAGGTTCTGGTTGATGCCTGAGTGTGATGAGCACGGCCCAGCTCACTGGTTCGGCTGCTCTGCCTCCTTCCCCCACGTACTGCGAGGCCCCCAGTCCCCGAGAACATCCCAGCTCACAGGCATGGGCACCACCAAACCAGGCGAACAAATGCAACCAAAAAACTTCTACAAATCTCATGCCACGTTATTTGCTCCTCCCGACCAAGTGATGCCGGTGTAAGGGGCAGGGAATGCACTGGGGATCCCTGCCAGGGCAGGCACAGCCAGGACAAGAGGTTATGGCTGATGATGTGACAGCAGTTTGTCTCTTGAGGGGCCATCCTGGGGCTCCCTAAGCTCGATATTCCCCGTAGGGCCCTTGTGTAAGAGGGACGCTGGCAGTTGTCACAAACCTGGGGATGTTGTCAGCACCAGGGAGAAAGGGTGGGTGACCTTGGGGACGAGCGCCAGAGCCACGGGATGAAATTTCATAAAGCTGAGAGCAAGGTTATGCCTTTTGGGAGCAAACCAGAGAGTCTGAGCTGGAAACTCATCCTGGGAAATGGGAGCAGGGAGGCAGATTGAGTGGCTGGGAGCTGCCGTGCCTTGGGGACCACCGTGCCTTGGGGACCAGGTCATATCCCAGCCCTTTGGCTTTGATGGAGACGACCTGCAGCTGCACCGTGGGCAGCACCAGGCTATAAAGGTGTCAGGGCCTCACCTGGGAGGGGGTTTGGGGATGTTGGGCTGGCTTGGCCTGTGGGAGCAAGCTGGGAGCAAGCTGGGAGCAAGCTGGGAGCAAGCTGGGAGCAAGCTGGGAGCAAGCTGGGAGCAAGCTGGGAGCAAGCTGGGCTGATCCCACACAGAGCAGTGCTTTTGGCAGGGAGCAAGCAGGTACAAGCTGGCTGAGGTTGGGGTGGGATTTCTGGTGTTCCCCAGCTCTGGGACAGGGGGCTTCTGTGCAATGTCTGTAGGAGGGAGAGGAGAAGAAGGAAAATGGCAGGGAAGCCTGAAGGGGTTGGTTTGGCCCTGGCAGGGCTGAGGCAGGCAAGCCCTGCTGCCTGGGGCCCTGAGGGACAGTCCTTGATGGTGTGAGCGAGGGGCTGACCCGACCCCACGGCGTGGAGAGGTTTAATGTGTCTTCTTAGGAGTAATTGCAGCAGGGGGAGGGAGGTGCTGTAATGAAAACACTCCATCATCAGCCGGGGCCATTAACCTGCCCAAAGCCCTTTCTGAAGCAAACTACATTACCCACAATTCAGGGGAGCGTGGGAGGAAATGCTGTTTTCGCAGAGGAGGTTTAGCTCCAGCAGCTGCGGTTTAAAAGCGCGATGCAGGGGGAGCTGGCACTTGGGGAACCGTGTCCTGACTCTGTGACTGGGGATAAAGCCATGGCTGCGTCCCCACATCGCGGGCATGGGGGTGCCGTCCCGGTTTGTGCAAGTTTTGGAGATGCTGGAGGAGTCCTTGGGCTCGTTCCAGCTCCTCCCTCGCCAGGAGTTATTTTTACCCTCTCCCAGGTAAAGCTTTGGCAGGGGAGAGGGACAGGGGATGCTATAATTAGCCATGACATCAGCCCCCGTGGCGGCGCGTGCTGGGATGATGCCACCACACCCCGACCCACCGCTGGGGACCGGGGATGCTCGATGCCCTCCTCCCTGCCGCAGCGAGGGATGCTGGATGGTGGCAGGAGCCTGGTTATTCCTGGCTCCGGCGTAGTGTTTGGCCACTGTCCTGGGGCCGTTCGGCCCCGCTCGCTGCCTCGCAGCTCGTCACGGGCCTGGGGAAGGAGGTTCCCCGGAGCAGGGGAGCACGGAGGCGGCGGGGGGAAGCGGGAGGGGGATTTGACGGCAGCAACAGCACATTTCACAGCCTGTCACGCTTTAATGGCAGAGGAGATCAAAGCCGGGATGGAGTTATTCATAGAGATAAACCAGTCCCCGAGGAGGCGAGGAGAAAACAACATTGCAAGCTCTGTTATCCCAGGCCCGCAAGCGGCAGCCCGGCCCCGGGGAAGCTGTCGCAGAAAGCACCCCGGGAGCGGGACCTGCTCCGTTTTGTAACGGGGCTCTGCCTGTCCCTGCCGAGGACCCGGCTGAGCAGGGTCTGCATCATCCCTCCGGGAGCCCGGAGGTCGGAGCTGACTGGTGGGGAGGGGTGAGGTGGGGGTGCAACCCCACAGCTGCAGGAGGAGGATCTGGGGGACGGATATTTGGTGGAGCAGATGGTCCCCCTGCTGCTGGGCTGTCCTGCTCCCGTGCAGCTGGGTGCATTGCATTGGAGGGGAGAAAAATCAGATTTGCAATGTGCCTTAGTCCATGAAGGTGCTTTACAGCTCCCAGAGCTGCTAAGATGGTGGTGGTGGCACCTGCAATGCCTCCGTCGCTGCTCTGGGGAGGATGAGCTGCTTCATGACGGCTCCGGGGCTGCAGATCCCCTCCCCGACCCTGGTGAGACGCAGACTTGGGGCAGCCGCGCAAGGTGGGATTGCCCGGGCAGCCGGGATCTCTGCCGGGACTAATCCTGCCGCCCCTTATCAGATGCTGCCACCTTGCCTCTGCTCGCTCCGCCAGCCAAGCCAGGCGCAGCTTGTGTTATCCAGCCCTTTATCCCCCAGATTAGACGCTTCACAGTGGATTAGCATGTCACATTCTAATGCAGAAAAATTGATGATTAAAAAGGAGTTTTTCCTCTGTATTATTCCCTACCTCCGCCTCCTCTCCACCCCGTCCCTGTGGGCCCAGGGAGCCCAGCCCCAGCTGTGGGACCAGTGATGCTGCGGTGCTGGGTGACGCGGGAGCTCTGTCCCTGGCTCGCACGGGGGATGAGAACCCAAAGGTCCCTTTTTGGGACCGTGCAGGGCTGGCGCGCTCTGTTCTGGCTGCTTTTGGTGGCAGGGCTCAGGGCAGAGGGGCCGGGTGCTCCAGGTCCCTGTGCCACCCTGCCCCGGGTTATCGGCTGGGGCCCCCGCATC